TTGTCCCAGAGCTGTCCGTGGGGGAAAAAAAAAGATGCATGTCATCTTCACTCACAAAAGACCTAAGAGAAAACAAACAAACAAACAACCTCCTACATATTTTGAGCAAAGCAAATAGAAAAGGAATAAGACCCATTCTTCCTTCCTTGCAACTACTGGACAAAGCTGCATTTTGCATCTGTTTTGAAAGCCTCAGTACTGGCCAAGAGCTCCTCGCAGGCATAAGCCAGTTCCCCCAACAGTGACACCAGCACTTGAAACCAAAGCCACGGCCCCTTCACCACGCGACTGCCACCTAGTCCTCATGGCAGCCATCAAGTCCCTTTTTGTAGCAGCTTCAAGAGAGAAAGCAGAAGAAAAAGGTGCCCAATGTGTGAAACCCCATTTCAGCTAAGTAACTAGCAATCTTTGGTACCTTCTGACTAACCCTCATGAAAAAGCAGGTATGTTGAGCTGGGCAAGGGGCATGGAGAATAACCAGCAACTCCCCAGTGCCCTTCAGCTACTTTAAAGACCACGTAGAAAAGCTGAGTTCCCACAACTCTTACAGTCACCTACTGAAACGCTTCCTAGACACATGTACTCCACTTGAATTAGCTAGATTGTTCCCCCTTCACCATTGACACAAAAATTCCTTTTAATTACAGGTGAGTATCAAATCAACATAGAGAGTTTAAACAAGCCACTTTAGTCAGAAAATGCTACTCAACACTAGCCCAACAGTTTTATACAGTATTTTTTATTCCTCCTTCAACTGTTAAACTCTAATACAGTATTAGCATAAAGATTGAGCAAGATATGCAACAACTGTGCTACGGATCATCTAACTTTGCTTAAATAATCATCCCCATCATCCAACTGGTGACCCAAACACAAGAAGCCTGCAGGTACTGTGTTATCTTTCAGTGTGAAACGAAGGAAGGTGCTGTACACACTTACCTGTAACATCAAAGAACAGGTGATGTGACCAACAACCTAGAGCTTGCTCCATGAAACACAGGTTCATTGACAAACCAATGCTCTCAAGGATGAATCACCAATAACGAATACTCAGTCTCGCAGTTTCCAGCGCTACCACTTGAGCCAAGATGCTGCTCTCACGGCCACACCAATGACTTCAGTTACAACGTTACAAGCTGCTAGCAGAATTTTGCAGGTAACATCAGAAGCTTTGGCAATGAGAGTGCAAACAAGAATCTAGGATATGGCAACACTTTCTATACTGTCAATGGGATAGCTGGTTAAAACAAATGTGCAGGGGCCTTATAGTTATGTCTTGTCTTCTCCTACCCAGCCCAGACAAGGTGTAAACAGCCCAGCAGCAGGATGTGAAGTCTCTAACAAAGATAACAGGAGCTATACAAGAGTGAAACTGTTTATTACAAGACGAAAACTGTAAACTAAATTACAAAGTTAAAGCAGTGAGCTGTTCCAGAAGAGTTGACAATCTTAGATCAGCACATTGCAGTTTCTTCAACACTGAAGGGTACGTGAAGGCTTACAGTTATAACTTGAATTTGCAAGTCCCTCAGGACACGAGTACAAAAAAAAAAAAAAAGTATTTATAAAAACAATCAGCATTGCCAATAACTCAAAGGAACTAATTGTTAAGTATTTGTCACAACTTGGGCTTTTAAAATTCTGTCCTATTTCAATTATGAACACCAACAACAACAAAAGAGAATCACAGAGGAAACCAGTGAAGTTAAAAGCTTCAGTATTAACGCCGTGAAGAAACCATTTGTTTTCCCCCTACACACATATTCAAAAACTGTACTGTGGGCCAACAGAAGATTCTATTTCCCATTTCAAAATGCAAGTTTTATTCCAGTAACTTATCATAAGAATAGACTTCCACGGTTCTAATTATCAGAAAGGCAAGCACTAGGGGGGTAAATTTCTCTAAGTTTCTCACAGCATACCGTATCCGCCCTCTCCAAAATCTGTTTATTTTGGACAAATGATACAAGACTTCCTTATAGCAGGAAGTCCTGCAAGTCAAAGGCCATTGCTGAAACAGTATTTCCACTATTTTGCAATGGGAACTTAAAATCACTTGCAAAGATGAACGAAACTGCTAATCAACATTAGTAGATTTGTTCTTCAGCAATTTAACCATCACAGAGGGGAACTACTGGCTTTTCTTTGCATTCTTCAGCTTAGCACAACTTCAGAAACCCAAGTAAATCCCCACAACCCAACCCTACAAAACAGTTAACATCTACATTTGGGAAGTGAAACACCATGTGCCAACACCAAAGTTTCCAAACAATCTCATGACAGCCCTGAGCATTTCAAAGTGCAAGCAGAACATCTCCCCACATTCACCCCATGCACATGAAGCATCCCAGAAGTTTTCCATATGCTAAAAAATCCAACTGAACACTTGGCAGAAAACTATTAAATAGTTAAAGTAAGACTGGCAGATGTGAAACACGTTGCTGAATTCCTCTAACAGCAACAGCTATCAGTACATCCTGAAGAACTGCTCGCCTTGTATACTTCTGGCAATTTAGCTCTAGTAAGCCAGAGCTGAAGACCAAGGTTTTCATGCCCACCCAGATGGCTGTTAGCATACCTTCTGAGCTGATTCATGTAGCAAGATGCAAAAAGCTAATGTAGCCTTCTGAAGCAAATTTGTTATTTCTGGGTTGAAAATATTAAGAATTATAATAATTTTGTTACCTACAATCTTTCTGTTACTGTTTCGAAAGAAAGAAATGAGAGTTCCTTTCCCATAGTACGGATACCACACAAAACTATCAAGTAGCTGGTCTTGATGCACTGAACTGCAAATAAACAATTTACTGGTCATACTAACCCTTACTTAAACCTTGATATAGAAATGCTGTAATATATTTTTAAATGTGTGCTGAAGATATTAAAAATCACAGCGGCATTGTGCTTGACTTGCTGCAATTTTAATCAAATAATCAGCTGGCTAAGAGCTGCAAATAACTGTAACCATATAACCCAAAACATACATTTTTATTCCAAGTCTAGCAGCCCAAAACTGCCCAGCAAATTGGAAAAGCAAGAAAACATATCCAGTTCCTAGCAAACACATACCGAACTGGAGAACACCATTTGTTGAACTCTAGTCTACCACCACTGATATTTGAGGTATTCTTCTATCCAAAACACCCTGCTATCAACAGTGTTGAATATTCCAGAGTGGCTCCAATCAAGCTCAACAGACCCACACCACGTAGGATGGAGATACCCACTCGTAGTCCAAATACACAGCCAAGGTTAGATTATCAGCGCTTCTTGACCAGGATCATGGAGCAAAGGCACAATGCCATATTAACATGGATGCATGCTTCCAGCACCCAACACATTCTGCTTCATAAACATACCTGCCTATAACCTAAAAGCATAGAGAAGGATTTGGCTGGCTTACTCCCATTGACCAATTCACAGAGCAGTAAATTTCATATTTGCAAACACTGAGAGTCTACCAACATTGCATAGGATGAGCGAAATGCTGCAGAAACACCAGTTCATGCAAACCCTACAGTTTGTTCACATAGCCTACTTCAAGATACCGCTAGCTTGACACGAAAATGTGCCAAGGATGCAATCAAGCTGGCTTTCTGCAGAACCAGCCGGGATCCATTGGAGTCTATGAGCTCAGGAACATCATTCAGCTGTACAGCCGTAACTGGGCATAGGGGCATGCACAGGCACCAAGTAGCAACACACCTCTAGCACAGTTTATGACTTAGCCCATCATTTCTGTTTGCTACAACATGCAAAATTTACTTGACAGGAAGCCTTCCATTTGTTCTCCATAGTAAAATTTCATGGTCCAATACATGGACATGCACAGATGCTGTCACAAACCTACACTGCCAAGTAATCAAAATTCAATCATTAAAGTAAAGCCAGGACTTGCAGGTCTACACTGAAATCTTGGAAGCTACGCTAGTTCACCAAGCAATTTCAGTTAGATTATTCATGGAACAAAATTCATGGTCAAAATACATACATTTAGACCTCTGTACTATTTCTCCCATAAGTCTCTATGCAGCCTATACATAAGCACAGCTAGAAATTATGGTCCCAATCTTTCAAGGTGAACACCACACAGCATCTCAGCACCCAGCACGACTGACTGGCCACTATCCAAACCTCTTCATCTATGCAGATCACCTCCCAGAACTGCAGGGCAAAAAAAAAAAAATAAAAAAAAAATACAATAATCACGCTGAAGACAAGCAGCAGGTACCTCAGCACCTCTGAAAACCACACACACACACACACACACACACACACACCCCGGGGAGCCACAACCCATCCCCCGGGACTTTAACTTGAATGGCCCTGCCGCACCACGGCGTCGGTATCTCGAGGAGCGGTGCCCAAATAGCTAACTACAGGAAAAAAATAAAGAAAATTAAGGGGAAAAAAAGCGACCCACCTCCCTGACTGCGAGGCGGGCTCACGACCGGCGCTGCCCCCCCCCCCGGCCCGGCCCTCCCGCGCACCCCAGGGCCGGTACCGGCGGGCTCCCTCCCGCACCCCCGCCGGGGCCCGGGGCTCCCGCGGGAAAACCGCCCTCCCAAACCACAACAAAGGCCGCCGGAGCGGCCCAGCGCCGCCGCAGTGCCCGCAAAGCTCCGACGTCCACCTCCGGGCTTCCCCCGGCCGCGCCAGGCCGGCACAGACCCTGCCCGCTCCCCTCCGCCCGGCGGGGCCGAGCCAGAGCCCCAGGGACCGCGGCCAGAGAGCGGCCGCTGAAATAAAACATTAAAAAATTGAACGGGGGTGGTTTGGGGGGGGGGGGGGGGGTGTTGGCGGTGCAGCGACAATGCTCCATCACCCGAGACACCTGCGCCGCCCCCTCGGCATCCCCCCAGGGAGCGGGGCGGCTGCCGCGGCCTGCGGCCAGGCCGAGCAGGGCCGGGGACCGCGGGTCTCCGCACCCGGCAGCGCAGACCGGGCCCGGCTGGCGGTGCAACAAAGCGCCGGGCGGACAGGGCCCGGTAGACACTCACCGGGAAGGCGGCGGGTGATCTCCGTCGGTGCCCGGCCCGGCCCGCCGGGGCGGGGGAAAGGAAGAGGGGGGGGTGGGAGTATTGCAGCGGGCGGCCTCTTCTCTCGTCCTCAATCCTCCGCTCCTTCCCGCGGGCACGGCTCAGCGGGGGAAAGGGGTTACGCGCCGGGGTGGCGGCGGCCGGGCGGTGCGGGCCGGGCCGAGAGGGCGGCTCCCCCGCTGCGGCCCCGGGCGGGCTCCGGCGGGAGGTGCCGCCGCCGCTGCAGCGTCCGGGCGCTGGGGTCGTTCCGGCCCCATCAAGGCCGGGCCGGGCCGAGGGGGCCGCGCCAGGCGGGGCGGAGGGAGCGGGGCCGCTCCCCGCGGCAGCTGGTGGCCATCTTAGTCGTCCTCCTCCTCCTCCTCCTCCTCCTCCTCCTGCGCGGCGCCGAGTGCCCCCTCCCCGCCCGGCTGCCGGCGCTGCCTCCTCCCTCCGCTCCTCCTCCTCCTCCTCCTTTTCCCGGCTGGCTGCTGCTGTTGCCGCCGCTCCCGCGTCCCGGCGAGGCCGCCTGAGGAGAACCGCTCCGTAATGGCGGGCGGCGGGAGCAGCCCCTCGGGCACCGGCCCACCACCACCCCCTTCTCCTCCGCGGGAAGGCAACGAGCCCAAGAGCTCCTCTCCTCCCCCAGACCCGCTCGGCTCCACTGACACACAGCCCGTCCCCCACTCCCTCTTCTTAATTCTGGGGGGTTTTACAGTTATTTTACTTTTTAGGGTTTGGTTTCTCCCCGCGCTCTGATAGAAACCGGTGTCCTCTCCCCTCTGTCCCCGACACCAGAGGTGCTGCCCAGCCCGCCCAGGGGACAAGTCGTCCCAGGGATGGGGGATGAGAAGAATTGAGCACACGTCAACGCAAGAGCAAAGAAGCCACCTTCGGGTTGTGGTGCTTTTCCCTTAGCTTTTCATCAAGCATACGTTTAGGGGAAGTCCACTGGATATCCCTAATATCAACCACAAAGAGGATTGTACAACCACGCTGGCCAGCGAACCTCATCCGTATGATCCAAATGTTTAAATACAGAAATAATGACTCTTTTCCTAATTAAGCCAGAAATCCATTTAAATTCCCAACAGCCAAAGGACGCCTTTTGTCAGCAGGACAAAGCGCCAGTTCAGCCACCAGCCACTGCAACAGTGGGGCAAGCTTCATCCCTCGGATGCTCCTGGGGAACAGGGCAAAGGTGCGTCCGCATGTGTGTGACCAGGTACCCTTCTGCCTCTTCCCCGTCACTCATAAACTTACTTTAAGAAATCAGCTGCTAACAGCCGCTCACCCCCAAGCAGTTTTGCTTGGGGTGCTTTTTCATCTACAGAATCCCTTCTGAAGTCTTCACTGAAAAGACTAAATAGCAGTTTGGAGAATCTGGCTGCAGGGGTAAAAAGATGCAATAAACAATGCACAAACCATCCAAGACCTCTGCGTTTTGTGGGCAAATTATCACAAGCAGCAGGAACCAGGACCATTTGCCTCTTGCCTCTGCTAGAGGGTCTTATTAAATGAAGCTGTGTACTTGAGAACAAATGGAGTAAACACCATTTATCCAGCCTTTCTTCTCTGGCTATTAGCATCAAACATGCAAATCCACTTTATGTTTTTACTGACTGATGTACTGCTGTTCAGCTGGCAGTGGAAATCATCCCATCCCCATTCGGGTGGAGGAAGCCTCTGCTTAAGGCTCACGGATGTCCAGAGTGAGGCTAATTCAGCTGCTAAGGAGCATTCACTGAAGACAAATGTGTAACTCCAAATAAACAAACCCTGCTTCTCCCAACTGAAAAAAAAACAAAATAAGCAAGGACAAGTTTATCACCTCCTTGCCCACACAATACAACTCTATCTTTACTTGTAAAAGGTGTCTTCAGACATCTCTAAATTTACTGTATTAACAGGAGCAAGATTTAGCCCAACTCAGGAAAATGGCCCAGGCTATAGTTTGGGGCTGACTGGCCCTTTGCAATACATTTGTTTGTTTGTTTGTTTGTTTGTTTTCTGTGCAGGATAATCAGTGAAGAATAGGCATCAAGAGAGGAATCACGCACAGTATATCAGCCATATTCCCATCACAGCAACTGTAATATGATCAGTGGCAGAAGCTCTTAAACAGTTGGTATTCTTGTATCCCTGGAAAAAAACCTTAAATTTTATGCCATGTTTGTCTAGTTTTGTCCCTCCTAACTAAATGCCTACTTTGGGACTTTTGGACGCAGAGCATTTTAACCACCTCTTCCCCAACCACTTTCTCTCTACCCAACCACTCTTTGCAGCCTCCTCTTCTCACATCACATGCTAACAAAAATAATTATCACTGTCTGCTATGGTAAAAAAAAAAAATATGGTTGTCTACAGCTAAGGCCATATGAGAAACGTTACCAGAATAGGAAGGGAAAATGAGGAGGGTCAAAACATGAAGCTATAGCTTCGCTTTCAGGGGATGCCTTTTGAGGGTACTCACTATGTTTTGTATACATCATGGAGTAATGTATACATGGAAAGAGAAGTACATGGATTGAGTTACATTCTATCACATAGCAGCCTGAAATAATTTGCCCCTGGCGTGAAGGTTAAGCTCAAAGCTGGTGGAGAGTGTTTGTCTACAAAACAACCAACGTTTGTATCTCAGTCCATTCAAAGCTAACATGCACATTTCTTTGCACGCCTGAATTTTTACGGGTACATTCTCCTTAGTAAGCCATGCCAGTCTAGAAGGAAAAATGTGATGCGTGCTACTAGGCAGAATTTGGCCCCCTTAGGTCTATTTTCATTCTGGACTGCAGCAAGGGGAAGCACTGATTTCATCAGCTTGTTCCTACAGTTATTTCACTTACTGTGCAAGATGCAGTCTGTGAATGGTACCAAGCAGTTACACTTCACAAAACAAACAAATCTTCTCTCTGTAATTTATGTGTAGGAGGATACGTGCATCTTTCATATGTAAAGGATTAACAAGATCTGTCTTAGCCAGCTCTACTGAGTAAGAATCAAAACTTACAGAGAGAGTGCTGTTCCTAATTCTTTCTCGGTAGAGGTAGTAGATTTCCTTAGTAGGAAATCACAAAAATCCTCCAGGATGGCAGCGGGAGTTTCATGGACAGAAACAAGTTTTGCTGCGTGCCAAGTTATATTGCTTTTTTTCTTCTTGCACAGTTAATGCTCATTGCATTCCTATTTATAGTCCCCATGTTTTGGTCAGTTGTCACAGTTCCAAAATAAATAATGGCAAGCTGTAACGATCCATACTGAGTGACACCAGGCACTCTTTTTACCTTCTCAATGTATCCTCTCCTCTTGAAATGCTCATCAGAGGTACCTGCTTGTCTTTCTCACAGAAGCCGTTAATACTTACAGTGCTATAGTTAGACAAAAGGAAGTATTTACGGTTAATTTTTCTTCCACTTTGCAAAGCAACCATGCACAAGGAATGGAATCAATCATTAAAAAATGTGAAGATATATTTAAAATTCTTTGCCTCCTTTATTAGAAAGGAAGGCAAATCCAAGGCCACTGTCTTCAGTGGTGCAATGCTACTCAACTTTCAGGTGAAATGCTCACATACTTCCATCGCCTTTATTTCATACGTCTTGGGAAGTAAAGTTACACCTGTCCTGTTTGCATACATTAGCTAATAGCAAAGTGCAGGCAAATCCAGAGCTGGAAAGAAATTGCTACAGGAAAGTGAAAGAAAATTGAGGGAATTTTAGTCTTTTTTTATTAGAATATCTTTAACAGAAGAAAATAGCACTGTTTCCCTCCCTCCTTCCTCCTTGTTTATAGATAACTCTTGGTATTAAATAAGAGGAAGGGTGGAGTTGTGGAGGGCCTAGTGTCCCTGTCCTGTGACATTCATGTTGAAATTGGCTGAAATTTGAAAAAAAAAAATTAAAAATATATATCCCTTGTCACATATGTTCTTCAGAAAAATAACGGGCTGCTTATCAGAAGTTAATAAATTAAACAATTCACAAATAGTCTACCACTGAGCTCACAGCATTCGTAAAGCATTAACAGAGTCACCACAGCAGAAACAACAGCAACTCAATGGAGTAACTGTCTCAGAAAACAGCAGCCAGGGCTACTCCTTCACCCTCTGGGGCCCAGCAATCCAGCCCCGTTTTGGAGAAGTAGCCTTTTTTCTGCTGTCTGTTAATGTTAGTCACATAGTTCAAGTAAATAAACATTTGCATCCCAGTGCTGTAGGTTCAGAGTTCAAAGGTGCATGACTTATAAATAGTTTGTTACAGCTGAACATAATGTGGGGCTTTTTTCTTCTGTGACAATACCAGTGATAAAGCAGTGTTGGGTTTATTAGCAAGCACAAGAGGATGAAGGGAAGAAGCAGGACAGAGGACGGTGCGACAACAGAATTCCTAGCCCACAAAGCTTTAGGCCACATTTGTAACCGTAAAAGAAGCCATAGCTTGCAAATTTAAGTTCTCGGAATCCATGCCTTGCCTCAGAATATTTGTGCAGAACAGAATTCTTGTTACAGAGGTTGCAAGCCTAGTCACACATAACTAGTCATACATAACTGGTGTACAATGAAATATTATCAGAAGATTCAAAGAATAAAGTGTTGATAGAAATGAGCACATGCAAAACTTGCTTGTAAACAAGAACTACACTGTGCATGCATGTACATGAGAAAGAGCAGGTAGTTAAAAAGAAAATCAAATAAACTGCATGCTACTTAATTTTTAGGGAATATGGAAAACTTAGAGCTTGGAGCTATATTCACTGGGTCTAAATTTTATGTGCCTGTATAGTAATGATTCTTACAGGCTCTCAGACCTGCACAGGCAAAAGGCAAACCACAATTTTAAAGGCCTGAATTGTGTTCAGGCCACCCAAACGTGACTCTTCACGTCCAGCAAAAGTGGGAAAAAGAGCAGGTGGCGACAGAGAAGGTGCAGTTCAGTTGAGGCTGTTGTAGCTTATGCAACCTCAGAGCCTGATGATTCCAGGAGTGAATCCGAGAGGATGAGATCACACTCGAGTGAGGGAAAATGCTGCCATCTGGTGCCTCTGGAGAAATTAAAATAAATGAATAAATAAATAAAGAGGATCATCTTGGTGGTATGCTTCACCTGCAGTGGTGTCAATGCTGCCGGTTCAGTCCTGAAGATCTCCAGTTGTCTTTTTATTGTTCAGAGGTGTTACCATTCTGCATGGCATGTGAAAGACTACCTTGTGAAACCACACATTGAATCTGAAAACAGAAAGGCTAAAAAAGTGCATTTAAAAGATATTTTTCTTCTGGGCAAACTACTGTAAGTATTAATGCAGTCTTTAAGGCAGGTGATTTTAGGAAAGACTGTTTTAAAAAAAGTCCCTTAGGTCTAAGAATAACATGCGCCTCGTTTATTTTGATTAAGGTATGCATATTTACACCAAGATATTCCAAAGTGC